ACGTTATTATAACTACTACTGAGTAATAATCGTAACCGTGGAATGCAGCATGACCGGATTTTGCTACCGTGATCATTGACTACTAAGCGTTGAATTTGTGTTTGTTTTATTTTTCTGTTGATTGTATGACAAACTGTGAATGTTTTCTAAAGAATGATATTTTTTGTATAACTTTCTAAACTGTCTGAAAACGGGTCATTTACTCAGTATTTAAAATAAAGGCTACAGTGACTAAGCGTCAGACTGTAATGTAAAATATTGTCAATAATCTATCACCAGAATGGAGCAAAAACAATGGCTTGTAACACAGTTACCGGTACTAGAACTTGAAGTGCTTGAAATAAGCGCCATTTGAAACAAAGTTGCTCAAATTTAACCACAAATAAGCGCCACCATGGCATGAAAGTGTAACAAAGTGGCGCCTAATTGAAGACAAATACGGTAGTTCTCCAAACAATGCGTAAATGACTGAAAATAGTATTTTTATATCAATACATTTGTATTATGTTCTAATTTACATATAATTAAAATATTTAATATCTTTCATTTTAACAAATCAATTAAATGTAATCTGTGATATTAAAGGGCGGCGGTCGTCACGTCAAGTAGCGTTCAATATAGGACTCATAGCGACGTACACAACACATGTAAAATACATGTGTTTGAAATTCGAACATGTGCGGGGTCGTCGTCACCTGCGCATGCATCAGATGGCCATAGCGTGTCATTGTTTACAAACAAGCGTCTACCCATGAGCCTTTGCGTTTTTAGCGTGTGTTGTTATCGTCGCTTGGGACTCAATTCCTGCGCGTGCGCAAGTGACTACCCTCCTGCTTTATGCCTACATAAGATTTTAGTCTAAATGAGTGTTTACGTGGCGTCAGTCGTTGCTTATGTCAGACGTCACCGCATGTCAATGACAGTTGCACAATTGTATCAACCCTTAGTTACACACAATAATAATAATAATAATAATCAAATTTTATTGCATCCTTAGAAATTACAATATTTCTTTTGGTATGTGTGACTATATGAAATTAGTCGTGTTTCTACATAACAATTCATTTAATAGCGTACGTATTGACATTACAAGAACATGTACGTCATTACTCGGTATACACATTTCAACGATTAGTCTAACCTTAACTACATTGTAGATTTATACTGAATGCACACATGTACATGGCATCTCGTAGATGCATATAATAAGGATACGCAACCTGTGTAACATAAGTTGAACATCACGTATTGTGCAATATACTGTTGAATACTTTATTTTTGTTTGAATTAATTTTCGCTGAAAAGGCTTTTTGGGCGCTCTATATGGAATTTATTTTCACTGATTTTTGACGAGTTGAATGTGAAATATAGGAAAAAAAGTATATTCGCTGGATTTTATTTTCACGGAATCATCCCTTCAGCGAAAATAGCGAAAATAAATTCCAAGCGAAAATAAAGTATCCTACAGTAAATTTCTAGACATACATTAAAGCGCGGTAGCGGTAGACTGAGAGGGGTAGAGCTAGCCTTCATTTTGATGTTCATTTAACAATTATTTTGAACAAGTACCTGTATTTGGAGGCATTTTAAAATAAAGACTACATTTACTGGATAAAATAAAGACTACATTTACTGGATAAAAAAGAAAAAAAACATCTCACAACAATAATGTTCAAAGTAAAGTACTTATAAAAAATA